CCTTCCCCTCTGTGAAGTCAACTAAAGGGCTAATGATAACTATCAAATTAAATATTCCTAGTTCTAAGACAGGTCTTCAACAAATATTTTGGCTAAGACGAATAAAGTTGACCGACAGGTGGGGGGTGGGGGGGCGAATTATCAGAGATTGTTTCAAGAAACTAAGAAACAATTCAAAGAAATTAATGCTGTGTATCGTGCATCAAGCAGTGGTTGAAAGGTGACTACTTATATAAACCTTCTGGTGTTTAAGAATAGGGGAAAGAAATTGAACGTAAAAAATCAAAAAAGGCAACTAGATGGGAAAAAAGGAGAACAATCCTCGAGCTTAACCCCTCTTCACAACTGTCAATGCATAGTAGGGGAAGTCAGTAGAGGAGCTAACTCCCAAGGCAGCTGTTATTTGTCAAAGCAAATGAATGACTTCAAAATAACTACTGTCAAAGTTTCCCATATAAAATGGTTGCTGCTGCCTTTAAAATGAGTGCTATTAACGATGGGCCCAGGAGATTGGCCAATCAGAGATGAGAATCCAGATGACGCTGAAGTTTCAAGTAAGGTAGAGTACAAAAGCAACCATACGCTGTTTGCGTAAACACCATAGGCTGTGAAAATTCACGAATATTAACAAAATACAACGAGGGACAAACCGACTGGAGGACCATAAAAAGTATGTTCGCTTAGGCTTAGAAGAAAATTTTCCATTTGGTAAACTAATTAGCTGTGAAGGGCAAGCTCCGATAGAAAGCCCGAAAGTACCTCAAGGGATTAAAGCATTTAGGGGCAGGGAAGTTAACCACAAATCCTTAGAAATTTAAAATCAAATATGAAAATAGTGTTAACATCTATTCATTTAAACAATGAATGCCAAAGTAGCCTGGATAGAGCGATTTTGGAAACGCCTGATTGAGCGATTCTTTGGTAATTGCAGTCCTATCAAATACATGGACCGAAATTTAATAGCCAAGTTGGAAGTAACGTCTTATAAACTTGCATATAATCTAAAGCGTATTGTCTGATTCGTAACTTTTAATGCAACCAATCATGTCTTTCCCGAGATCACAAGCTGGATTGAACATTAAACACTACCGACATTTTATCCACTTTTATGATGGGGTTTAGTAGCAGAATACTTCTCAATAACCTAAAATAGATATTTATTTCTGATTCATATGACACATCTTTGTAATGAAATTATTTCGATGAACTCTAGGGAGCTTTCAACACATGTGTATGATTCTATACACCGTTCTTCCCACTCGTTCCTAACTCACATTAATTTCACTTACAAACGATTGTTTTACACCTATGCTCCCATTGGTACTTAATTAAAAAAAATCAAAATCACCCTACTGCCATTCTTCTCTCTAGCAAGGAAACATTATAGCGCAATTTATAAAGCTACTAAGAAAACTTACTCCAGGGCTACTAGCGCATCCTAATCCAGCGGAAGCCGGTTGTGGTGGAATAGATGGATGATGTATCCCTCTGTTAATGGCATCATCATCCGGGGAATGCAGCGTGGAGATGGAGTCCGCGTGTCCAAAGAGTAGGCTTCCACCTCCGTTGATTGAATTCGAGGTAATACTGAGGGTCGAAGGGGCTGGAGCAACAGCATAAGGGAGAGCAGCAGAACCAGTTGCAATTGTGGGATCTAAAGGAATATTCTGGTGATTGTTGGTGGTGACAGGTGCGTTGCCATTATTTGTCGTCTGTCCATTGGATTTGACGAATGGAGTGGAAAGAAGACGGAATGTCCCGTCGGAGTTGGTATCTGTCAGAATGGGAGCGACGCTAGAGTCTGTGACAGAGGCGATAACTTCTGAATGCGACGCCTGAATCTCTTTAAGGACTTCTTCCAGAGAACCCATCTCGGCCAACACGTTCAGGTGGGCATCCTAAGGTACAAATCAGAACAACAGCAAATAAACGAGGTGAATATGAAATATTCGGAAAAATTATTTAAGAATACTCCTCAAGTTCTCATGATTCAGTGAATTCCCAAAGGGACAAACTATTAAACCTCTGACTGAATCTAGGACATGGGGTACGTTCTAGATATCCTATTCGACTTCTCTGATTCGCTAAAACACAGTCTCCCACCCTAAATAAAAAGAGTAAGTACTAACATTTGCATACCTAAGGGTCAGGATAAAAGTTCCACACGACTGCAGAAGGGTAAATGAATATTATACTTTTATTTAAACGTATTAAATACAGAATATCGCGAATAACAGCAAACAACAACGACAATGACAATGACGGTATTCAATGGTTCAGAGCAAGTGTTGAAAGTGCTCATCATTAACTTCGATACACAGCTCAGCATGTCTTAACACGTCTCTCGTATCTTGGCCACACTGCGCAATGACCGAATACCATACGAGAATTAAAACTAATAGACATAACTAAAATAATTACGCATTTCAGGTCTATATGACTGCAATCTATAGAAATGCCATCTCAAGCGCTTTCAAAAGGTTGGCAACCTATGGGGATAAGGTTTGCCACCAACAGAATGCCAAAAAAACGACAATCTGAATACTGCCAAGCATATTTAAAAAAAAGGGTAAGGATGATAGCGATTTTCAATTAAACAGCTAAAGGCAAATTAGAACAAAGGCTAAGGTTAGGCACACATTTTTATCTAAAAGTATGCAAAAGATCTGCAAGAATAAATTCTGATTTTATGGCTAACTTTCACACCGAGATAACACTTTGGTGTGAATTTGGGCTAGCCGGCAGAACCTACAGGCCATACCGATCTTCTATTGGCTTATTTTGACCAACCGGTCAGTCTGATTGAAATGTGATATACTCGCGCCAAGGCCGTATAGTAAAAAAAGAACTCATAAAATGTTCCGCCACGCACAACCAGCTGGTAATAGAGAGCAGTCTCGTACCGCTAAGTCCTAGCGATACACTTTCCGTAATGAAAGAAACTCTTAAATAAGAAGCAGATGAATGTCAGACAGATATGTGATACGAGATATGATGTCCAAGTTCAATTTAACATGAATTACTAATCCAAGAAGTAGTATTATGTAAGAGTATATAGGACCAAATGATGATTAATACGCACCAATTACTATTCGTGTAGACCACACACACAAAATATATTCCATTAGTCCTCAGCTAAAAGACCCTATTACTAACCTTTTCCTCAGCATTAACTTTGAAACTTTGGATTAAATTAATCTAGAGTGAGTGTCAACTATCCATTTTACTAAGATTAGGTTTTCAATAAGAACTAGCAGAGGCTTTTAATTCCCAGAACATCTAGGACCCCCTTTGGATAGAAACTCGCATTCTCTACTAGAAGGAAACAGCAACACCGAGACATGGTCAACGGTGGTTGGCATTTTCTACTTCAAACAAGTATGCTTTAAATATATGAGAAAAAAGCAGCATTAACTACCATTTAAAATCTACTCTGACACTCGCATCCCAACCGAACAATCCCGAAACCCAGATAAATAGAGTTTATGGGCAAAAGCCTAAAAATGTAAGATTTGAGCCTGAATTCCCTTAATTCACCACTTTTTCACCCTTGGTTAAAAAATACTACGGAAATCTAGGTGCCCATAGACAAATTGTGTCTAAAAAATGATATTCTTATTTAAATTGGTTGATGGTGGTGTCTATTGAGAATGCTGATACTGAACAAGGTGAATATTATAATCATTTTGAGAAGAAAACATTGTTCCTCTTAAAAGGAATTTCATATTATTAAGCGCCCGGCAGCTGGTTGACAGAAGCACTATTCAATTAAGCAATAGAGAAGTGAACCCTAATTAATTTGCCATAGATGGAACAAACAACAATAAGGTAACAGAGACTTGCGGCATGGCATTTGATGGAAGAAATACGCGAACAATAAAATGGCCACTAAGGCAACAACTAGCCAATGAAGTAACACAGACGGATGAGTCACACGCATTGGTGTGTGTGTACAGTAGCGTGCGAAAAAATGTAGACGTTTAGTCTACCAGCTGAAAAAGTGAAAGTCAAATCTTGTACAAAAAATGCATACTCGGGAAAATGAGATTTTGCTTTTTGCGTATTACCGAAAAGAACACTTAGTCGGGTTATTTGAGGAAATTCGATGATAACTTCGCAATTCACTTGGTAGTGCGCATGTTCAAGGTAGACAAACAATATAATTATAAAACCCAAGGCAAGTGTATACTCGGATAAAAATGATTATATTAATTCATCATTGATTGAGTTAGAAAAACACGAAGAAGTTTTCAAAAAAAGGAATTATGAAAAGAATACAACCATCATGAGGTCTTATTATGAGAATTGCATCACAACTTCTTAACCTTCTAGGTACTTCATCATAGAATTTAGATGTTTGGGTTTAATAATGACAGAACAAGAACCTGTTAATGATTCATCACTACTCTAGCGCTCAGACAACTGGATTTCGAACTTTGCGTAATTAAATTAACTACCAGATAAAAGAACGTTCATGGTAGCGCCTAACTCCTACGTTCGTAAATTCAGGGATTTACTATTGTGGTATAAAAGGAAACAACTGAATCATACAATGAGATCCGAATAAAGGACAAAGTGAAAGAACTTTGGTAGGCAGAAAGACCAGTTGCACTGTTAATAAAACAATTGTATTTTAACCTTAGGAACTTGAATTACACATAAGGATATAAAGCAACCAATCCATAGAGTTTCGACCTTAAATATGACTTAGTATTCAGGAGTTATAGTGGTGATTTCCGCCTAGAAGCAAACCTGAGAAAGTACTAAGGTGACAATGGCTTTGATGACAAAAGAGTATATGGGACATGTAGGGTAAAGATTAATTTAGAAGAAGCTATTAGTTTTGACTTACTAAATCCTATCAAAAAATAAGAAATGAAACAAAAAAATAGTTAAAGCAAATAAGGGTACCGTCTATTAACTTATAATCAACTACTTAGCTTCGGTAAGAGATATGATTTACTAGATAAATTCCCCCCATCGATGTCCAAATAAAAGCATAACCACAAATCGACGGGACATTTTGATCCCTTAAGCTGTCATGTGTTCCAGCATTTGCGTGGACAGGGAATTATTTTTGCCCCCAAGATTGATCAAGCCATGATCTATAATGCAGTGCTGGGAGAAGAGAATAAGACAAATTCCCTCTCTGAGCAGAATTCGCACTTCAGGAATATTTATTCGCCCTTCGTTCTTCTGTGATTATAACGTGGGAATAAATCTCGCCAATACAGGAATTAGAGATAAATAGCTTCAATTAAAGTAGCTATATAAACCGTTGTAGTTTCACAATAGTAAGTTAATAGGTTCCGTTGAAGACCTTCTGCATTATTCTTACTCGGTATAACCTAGATTAACTAATTCGGTCTACCATTTTGCTTATCGAATGTGTATCAAGAGGCATCAAACCCATGACCTCCAGCCTGATGAAAACCAATTAATCAAATCAAGTCGATTTACGCCTGCCAAAGCGCTTGATTAAGTGCCCAATGGAACAATTTTTCAGAAAGTTACAACAGCTGTTTACACCTAAACCGATAGCATCGTATTGGGGGGGGGGGGGAATGAAAGGTCGATCATCCCCAAAGCCACCAACTCCCGTATGCCATCAACTGAGTTATGAAAAGAGGTAGACAAGGAAGGAGAGAGAGAAAAACGTTTTGAACCCGTTCGCGAAGGAAGCACTAGTGTTCGATATACCAAAGGGGTTGATGAAAGAAGTATGAAAAATCCAAATGATACGCCAACTCCTTTTGGAAGGCAAAAGAGTAAAAGGGCAGAGTAATGAATTAATTATTAATGAGGTAGAGGAGGTGGAATGATATGGAAATAGATAAGCTAAAGGAACACCATCACTAAAGATTCCCATTTTATGTGATTATTGGATGTGGTCAATTTTTAAAATCCGGATTAATCTTGGCAACCGGATAGTAAATCGATACGAGCCAATTTGATATTCTCTTGCTAACCAAAATACCACCGTGAATGAATAATATACAAGGATAAAATATTTCCTAGATAAATATTATAGAAAACAGACTGGTTTGAATAAAGGGAAGGAAATTGAATGTCAAATAAAGTAAACATACTTCACACTAATTCTAGTAACAGGTTAATTGAAACCTTGGGGGGCGGGGCTAGAAAGCGTTTCCTCTGACCCTCTAGGCCACTAAAAAGGTATCTATATCGATCAAATCATTAACCACCTTTGAAAGAGTTGAAATTACTTTTACTCAGGAGAAATTAATGAAACATTGGGAGATAAAGCGGTCGGAAATCCGAGGTCAAATTAAGCACAACGACGCTTTGATTTCAGCTCCTACATGAGTCACTCCTCTATACCCTAATTGAACTGTTCCAGCGATTACGAGACATACACCTTTAATACACCGTGGAACATATAGAAAAAGATAATTGAAAATCTAATTAATAAAGATTGAGTAAATTTTTAGCTAGATATTAAAATAAGTGAAGTTTAAAAATCTTGGTCGAAAGCAGAAATAGAAAGAGGAGATGAAAATTATGCAACAAGACTAAGTCTACGAAAGGGGCTAAACTTGGCATTTAGAATGAACGTAAGAACGAATGAAAGCCTGATTCTTGCAGATCTAGGAAAGGGTAAAATACTGCCACCATCTAAATGGACAACGAATAACAAAATAAATCGACAAGCAAAGTGGGACAAAAAGTTGATCAACGGTGATTAAGCCAAGACAATAAGGAACCGGTCAGTATGAAATTCAAAAGCAAGGGACAACGCTTTCAGGACTATAATTTTTATTCAATCCGCACTAGTGATTAGAAGCAGGTGAAAATGGAGCAATTTATTACGAAACCATTTATGAACTAATTCTATAGCCTTCACTTCATGCAGTAACTTCAGGTGTGCCGATGGGTTTACCATCTCGATGGTACAATTGCAGCTGTCCGATTTTTCTCCTTTTTTAATTTTTTGCGTACTTTTTAATTATAATTACATTGGAAAAATATCTCCTGGTCGTACGTAAGCTCCTTTAGTGACAGCCTGTCCTTATTTGGAACATGTGCTCATAAAAGTGAAACTTCGCTTTGAGGCCAATGTAGAATGTGAAGTAACACCTCACGTTTGAAATAAAATGCAATCATTAATGTTTATGTTTAAATTAAACTTATATACCAATCATGTGATATTTTATTCATTAATCAAATTTTTCAGTCATTCGCAGGCAACTTCTTAAGCCACCCTCGATTCCATCTTAGTGCCTTTGCATGGTAGTTCCAAGGTGATTTTGAATTACTTCTGCAATGTTCCATCGCAACCTTTTCATTTAAACAACATTGATTTCTTTAGTGGTTCTCCAAACATAAGAACTATAACGATTAGTTATAATTGAACACTGTTAATGCGGATTGAATTAGAAGTAACAATAACGAAATGCTCAGAATTACTGAAATTTCGTAATTGCACGATTCTGTTGATGGCACAAAAATTGAGATAGAATTTCTTTAATTAGCACGAACGTTCTCTTGTCTGGTAAATAGGCAACTCCAGACGTGCCCCAAAAGGTTGGACAGAAAGAAGCACAAGGATGAAAACCACTATGAGCGACTTGCATTCTTCTTCCATAATCCAAAAAGCAGAGAAGATGATTGAAAGTTCACACAAATTTGCATTTTAAGCGGTGAATACCGCCAACTTGTTTGTAAATTTCGCAAATATGTAAAAAACACAAAATTTGATGAGAATGCTGGAAGGAGACTAGTGCATTAACATAAGACAACAGCTTTAAAATTTTTAGAATAGGAAGTCTTTTATTCCACATATGAATTAGATCTCTGATGGGATTTTCTAGGTTCATCATGAAACTTAGCACAACTACAGCCATAAAATACTTTTAAAAACGAACAAATCGGGTGTACCTTTTCATCATTATTCGATCATATTAAAGCTGAATGAGATTAATAGAAGCTGTTAAAAAATTTTTCATAAAATTGGAAAGGAAGGCTCAAACCTAAAACTTTAAATTACATCAAGTAGAACTTTTGAAAATAAAGAGGACCTAACCGCAACTGGAGCTGCGTATGTCGCAGAGCAAATGTTTTCTGCCAAATTGCTAATCCACGTAAACAGTATTAGGCACGAAGAAGTGCAAATGAGATTAAAATGTTCTAATGGAGGTAATAACTACAGCATTTTCTCCAGCGGCGATTACGACAAATCCACAAATCACAAAAAAAGCCCTTGGAACTTCTATTAATGGTAATTCGCATAATGTCAGGAGTGGTAATGCCAAGGATATATGAGGAGAATCGGGAATGTACGCTAATATATCATTAGCAATTAAGATTGATGGAGCCCAGCGTAATTTGAAACATCAGTAGAGAAGTAAGGAATTAAGGCCACAATGTAAGCTCAAAGTAATTAAAGATATTATTATTTAGGTTAGATGTGAAGAGTAGACATGTATTAGAAATATGATATTACCTAGTGAAATGGATGCTTATGGGAGAATAGATTGCACACCTGATTATGAATTTAAGCAAGAATTGAATCTTTCAACAATAATAATTGCAATATATTATAATTTAGCCGTGGGAAGGGAGGGGAAGAGAGACAGAAAGAAATGAGTAAAAATTTACATTTCATCTCAAGCTTCCTAGAGAGGAGTTTAAGCCACCAAGAACGTCGCAACCCAATGCGTCTTAAATGTCTCACATGTATCGGCCACACTGTATTAACCATAGATTTTTGCATTCATTGTAAATGCAAGTGCTAAATTATCATCTAAAAGTCGGTTTCTGAAACACTATCAGATAGATGGCAGTGGAGTAGATCCATTTTAATATGTCTGCACTTTAGAAATATGCATTTATTGTTTATGCCAAAATTTAAGAAGTTAAGATATTTAATCCCTATGTAGGGCAAAATAGGGCAAACCAATAAGCTAGTTACGAATAATTGACACAAGACGTCGTCATATATAAAGTGCATATCACTTAAGGATAAAATATACCTAAAAGTACATCGTGCTTATAATTGAATTAATCGAGTAAATAAATTTCTAAGATATAAAATGGCTGTGTAACGTATAGAAATAGGGTATGTATTAACCAAAAGGAAGAAAGTAGGGAGTAACTTACGACAAGAGGGCTAAGGCATGTGGCAAGTTCAGCGAAACGTCGGCGTTCCTCCTCAGCAACTGACTGCAGGCAACGCTGTTCCAATTGTTCCAAAGCCCTTTGTTTGCAGGCTAGATCATGTTGTACGAAGTTGATTTGCACACTGGGAGCATCGTAGTCGTCCTTTTCGAAAGCCGCTGTCACGCCACCACGGTCCTACAAGAGAATCAAGAACCCCGTTCGGGCATATATTTCTTCATGGTATATATATATATATATATATGGCAAAACAAAACAATAACTGATAACTGCGATACAGTAAGGACACGGTTATGAACATTTATTTTACATTAAAAGCATTCAACAGATTAACCAGTTTTGAAAACAATGACATGAGAATAAAATGCAAGCGATGGGGCACGTTATTTAATATCTCCAGCTACTGGGGATATGTTGAATAAAGTGTGAAAAGATGTTCATTTCTCTGGCCGGAAAACAGAAGAAAAATCATTCGAGATAGAAGAATACATCCTTGAAACAAAGTTTCTCGTTGGTTTTTTGAACACTCTGGAGGCCAAATTTTAAAGCAGCAGCAAAAGGATTCTCAGAACTCCTCTTGGCCTTCCATTCAATCGGATCGCATATTCTTTCAATGCCCCCCCCCCCCCACCCTTTTTGGACTAAAAAAGTGAATTTCCACACGTCCAGTGTACTAATAACTTAGATTACTCTGGAGGATTTATGCGCATGGGTAACTCTATGTGGATTTTTAAGATAACATACTTTCAATTTGGGCTGATAAGTTCAGCGAATTTCTGAAACTAGAGAAAAAGAATAGTACATGTTTTTTTAAGTCTGAACTGAAAAGTAAACAACTTGAAATCTCGATTCTCGACGAAAAATGATTGTTTACTCTCCTAAAACCAAGATTATGATCGAAGCCCTGCAAAAGAACCGTATTCCACCAAGATGAATATCACCAAATCCATCTTATCTATATTACTATGTTTTTATCGTAGCTAAATGTCAGATATATATATACACATATATAATATTGTCAGGAAGGATAAAGAATAGTGTCTTAATTCTTATCTATCTAGATTACGAGAGGAAATCTGAGAACGGTAATCAAGAGGATAAGGTGGAAGCACTGACAGTCTGACAACAGATGGTTCAAAAGATTTGATGGCCAAGAAACAAGAGCCTAATAATGAAAGTTCACTGCCGAGTTAAAAAGAACTTCTTTCTTCTATGGTGTCTAGGCATAGTTAGACAAAATATTATTGGATTGCTTTCATAACATATTAAAAAAATATTCAATAAGAAAGTGATCATGTCAGGTGTAGCTAGATCCAAATTAATTTGTTCACTTACGACTAAATAAACTACCAGTAGGCAAACAAAACGGCCGGTCAAAAGTAAGCGATGAAAGAAACTACTGAGTTGAAAATAAGCGACCGACCCAGGTCATAGCAATGAATGTGTGTGTGTGTGTGTGTGTGTGTGTGTGTGTGTGTGTGTGTGTGTGT